ATGAGGTACAGTTGTAGAGCTACAAATTTTTGTGCTTGGGTCTCAGTTGGGCTGGAGCGATAGCACAGCGGGTAGGGCGTTCGCCTTACAAGCGGCCAACATGGCCGATCCGAGTTCGATTCCTCCGCCCCTCTCAGAGAGCCCGGCAAGCTACTGAGAGTATTCGATATGCCAGACACAGTAACAACAAAGTCTCCAATGGAGACGTTACTGGGCCCGCTCGAGCAAATCGACGATCAATGGGAGGGGGTCTCAGTTATACAATGATCAAGTACCCATCCCTCCACCAGCACCCATCCTCTACCACCACGGGTCCCAGCATCCCTTCCACCCCCCATCCCTCCCATCCCACCCTGCCTCTGTGGTAGGGCATTCCCTTTTGTTCTCTCTCTCTCTCCTTTTGGGTGTTGTGGTTTGCAAAAGAGGCATTGAGTGGCAATCATGTTTGGTCTATAGTCTACTTTCAGCATGCTTCTCCCATCCTGGGAGGATCCTCCCAACACCCTTTATTTGGGGCTCCCTTCTCTATCTGAGCTTCCTTTCCCCCTAGGATGTGTGGCTGGCCTCCAATCCATGGAGCAAAATTCCTGGTACTTAATCTCGGCCACTCTTGGATGTTAGTCTCCTATTTTGTTACTTTATGTTCCCCAGATGAATGCAATCTTTCTATGTCTATCCCTCTCTTTCTGACTCATTTCACTTAGAATGATACTTTCCATGTAGTACCATGGAAAAGTAAATTCTTATGCCACATACTGACATGCTAAACAGTTATTGAAAAGATAAGGTGGGACCAGAGAGATGGAACAGTGGGCAGGGCATTTGCCTTGCATGCAGTTGGTCTCTGGCATCTCATATGGTTCCCTGAGCCCTGTCAGGAGTGATCTCTGAGCACAGAATAAGAAGTAATTTCTGAGCAACATCAGGTATGACTTCTAGACACCTCCCCCTACCCCCTGTCTGCCAAAAGGATGAGATGTTCAGGAGATAAAGTGAGAGCCCTTTCCCTACCATATACTATAACATTTTTGGTTGCTGAAACCTGAAAGTTATTCTTTTTCTCTCTCTTGCTCTTTTTAAAAAAAATTTGGTGCGTATCTGGTGGTGCTTGGGAATTACTCCTGAAAGTGCTGGCGCCGTGATTCAAACCAGGGTCAGCAGCTTGTAAGGCAACTTTATCCTGGACTTTGGCCTGAGAGAGTTATTCTGAGCATCTCTCTGAAAAAATCATCCCAATGTCATTACAGAGGCAATGAGAGTTCTATGTAAATTGTTTTCATATTTCATAATTGTGTCTCTCCAACTAGATGGATGACAACTACTAAGGCAAGTACCAAGAAGGTCCCAGATGTTATTTCTCAATCACTCTGCTGACAATGACTGGACAATACACAAGGCAGCGTTCTGAATTTCTGAGAAAACATTTCGAGGATAGCAATTTTTCTTTCTTTTTTTTCTTTCTTTTTTTTTCTTTTTGGGCCTGGTGATGCTCAGGGGTTACTCCTGGCTTTGTACTCAGGAATTATTCCTGGTGGTGCTCAGAGGACCATATGGGATGCTGGAAATCGAACCCGGGTCAGCCAAATGCAAGGCAAATGCCCTACGTGCCGGGCTATTACTCCAGCCCCAATTTTTCTTTATTGAAAATTAAGAGCAAATTTTTTGTTTCTGTTTTTGGGCTGCAACCAGCACGGTGCTCAGGGTTGTGTGCTCAGGGGTCACTCCTGGCAGGTAGGGGGATTATATGGCATGTCTGGGATTGAACTTGGGTCAGCTGCATGCAAGACAAGAGCTCTACCTGCTGTACTATCTCTCCACCCCAGGATGAAATTTATGTGCTCTTAAATATAAGGCAATGGGTAGGAAAAAGGTAATAAAAATTTCCACCTAAACCCAAGGGTGACAAAATGCATAATTATTGTAATTTTGTGCTCCTTTCACATTGAATGAGTAATTTCCTTTTGATAAGTAGACTATATATATGGATTTAAATGAAGGTAGAAAATATTCCAAAATCACTCATTTTGGTGAAAAACAAAGGATCCAGGTACAGTGTGTAGGGAGCTTGCTTTGCACAGGGCCAACTGGGGTTGGATCCCTGACACCACACACAGATCCCTGAACACTTCCAGGAGTAAGCCCTGAGTGGTGCCTGGTTTGCTCCTTACACATCTCAAAAACGAAAGAATCCATTCACCCTTAAGTGCTCAAGATCAATTGTGATGATTTTGTGTTGGAATAATGTGCATGAGGAACCATTATTAATAATATAGTAAACCACAGACTTCCAATCAATAGAAGAATTTTTTGAAATGTGTTTGCATATTGTCTTGGTCAAGAAGCTGAAGATGGGGGGTGGAGCGATAGCACAGCAGGTAGGGAGTTTGCTTTGCACGCAGCCGACCCAGGTTCAATTCCCAGCATTCCATACGGTCCCCCGAGCACTGTCAGGAGTAATTCCTGAGTGCAGAGCCGGGAGTTAACCCCTGTGCATCACCGGATGTGACGTAAAAAGCAAAAAAACTTAAAACGCTAAAGATGATTTCAAAAACTGAAAGTGCAGAACAATTAATATGATTCTACATATATATAAATAAATGTGTTTGCACAAAAAAGTTTATTGGAAAGATTCTATGCCCACCTCTGTTCATTGCTGCATTTAGTACAATATCCAGATTAGGAAACACCCAAATGCCCAATTACAGGTGAGTCGGTCAAGAAATTGTGATTCCACAATGGAATACTATGCAGCTCTAAGAAAGAACAAATTTGTGCAATTTGCAGCAACATGGGTGGAACTCATGGTTCCATGCTGAGTGGTCAGTCAGAAGGAAAAGGATCCAGGATGATCACTCTCATATGTGGGACTTAAAGAAAATAAAGTTCACTATTTCCCTTCCCACTTCCCAGAAGCAGCCATCGAAAATTTGCGTCCTAAGGCCCATGTCTAAGGATTGGAGCTCACGCTTAGCACGGACAAGGCTCTGGGTTCTACTCTGGGCTCTGCATGACCCCTGCCCACCCCTCCCCACCCTCGCTCCCCGGTGTCAGTGTGTTGGTTTGATGCACACACGTCATCACCACTGGTAGCCTAAGTATCAGTTAGGCTCCACGAGCACTGTTCCTCCAAAAAATCAGCTTCTGGACCTAGATAATCTGCAAACACATTTAAATTTTTAGACTGGTATTCTGGGGTTTAATAATGGTTTCTTGTGCACAAAACTCCAGCGTCTCATCCAGCCCCAGTGTACCCACTCCCTTCCCCAAGGACCTCGACGTCCCTCTCTCCCCCCGCCCCCAGTTGTGTGGATCAGGTCTCCCATTATTGCCTTTTGACCTTTGTTGCTTCTTCGCTGTGTGGTTTTGTTTTTGTTTTTTTTGCTTTTTGGGTCACACCCAGTGATGCACAGGGGTTACTCCTGGTTCATGCACTCAGAAATTTCTCCTGGCCGTGCTCGGGGGACAGTATGGGATGCTAGGAATCAAACCCGGGTCAGGCCGCATGCAAGGCAAACGCCCTACCCGCTGTGCTATCACTCCAGCCCCACGCTGTGTGATTTTATTTATTTATTTATTTTTTATCATTTTTTTTATTAGTGAAACACCATGAGGTACAGTTATAGACTTATAAATTTTTGTGCTTGGGTTTCAGTTATACAATGATCAAGTACCCATCCCTCCACCAGTGCCCATCCTCCCCCACCACGGGTCCTAGCATCCCCCCATCCCCCCATTCCCCCCCCACCCCCCCCCCCGTCCCACCCTACCGCTGTGGCAGGGCATTCCCCCTTGTTCTCTCTCTCTTCTTTTGGGTACTGTGTTTTGCAAGAGAGGCACTGAGTGGCAATCATGTTTGGTCTATAGACTACTTTTAGCATGCTTCTCCCACCCTGAGAGGGTCCTCACAACACCCTTTATTTGGTGCTCTCTTCTCTATCTGAGCTTCCTTTTCACCTAGCACATGTGGCTGGCCTTCAAGTCATGGAGCAAAATTCCTGGTACTAATCTCAGCCTCTCCTGGGTGTTATTCTCCTGTTTTGTTGCTTTATGTTCCCCAGATGAATGCAATCTTTCTGTGTCTAGCCCGCTCTTTCCGACTCATTTCGCTGAGCATGATACTTTCCATGTAGTACCACTTGTATGTAAATTTCATAACTTCATCTTTTCTAACAGCTACATAGTACTCCATTGTGTAAATGTACCAAAGTTTCTTTAACCAGCCATCTGTTCTTGGGCACTCGGGTTTTTTCCAGATTCTGGCTATTGTAAAGAGTGCTGCAATGAACAAACAAGTGCAGATGTCACTTCGACTATACCTTTTTGCCTCTCTGGGATATATTCCCAGGAGTGCTATAGCTGGGTCAAATGGCAGATAAAATTCTAATTTTTTGAGAATCGTCCATACTGTTTTCCAAAAGGGTTGGACCAGCCTGCATTCCCACCCACCTGTGTGATTTTAAACTCACACAGAAGCTCCACTTTCCAAGGGAACAACGGGCACAGACTCTGCATCAGCAGCCATTGTTTCTGCATCAATCATCACGTCCAGCCTGACCCTTAGTGCTCCTAAAATCCTATCCCAGGGGACCCTAAGGTTTGGAGCTGAGTGTGGGGGTGGAGGGGAGGTGGGCAGTCGGTCAGGATGTGGGAAGCAGGCACAGGGTCAGTGGCATGCCCCTGTCCTGCCCCTGTCCTTTGGACTGTCCCAGGCCCCGTTTCTTTCTTGGGCTCAGTCCCACCAGGGAGCACCTTTCAGGCAGGGCACGAGCACCAGATCTCGTGATGGCCAAGAGAACAGCGTCGTAGGTTCCTGACTCCCCTGGTCAGCGCTTCTCCTACCACCTTGAATGCGTTTCCAAGAACCCAGGCCCTTCTGCCCCCACCCATCCCCTTCCATATGGAACCCAGTGTTCGGAGGTAAGCCCTGAGGTCAGAGACGGGACTGTGAGGTCAGACCTTTGGACACAGTAGGAAAGTAGTCAAGGAAGACACAGACCATGTACAGTGACCTATGCACTTTTAATTGATCTTCCCCCCAGAGCAGACCCCCATGTCTGTGGCCTAGCGCCGTAAAACTTTGGTATCGTTGACCTCTGAAACCACTTTGCCGTCCACAATCTTGTGGGTGGTCTTCTGGATGGTCTGTATGGACAGGCTGCTGCTGTCCAGGGCGTCACTGAGCCTTGAAGAGAAGACCAAGCCCTGGTTATACACAGCCTTCCCCCCCCGTCAGCCCCACCCCGAGACGAGGCAGACAAGGAACAGACCTGATTCCCCTGCCTTCCCGAACAACCTCTCCTCCCTCTGCTCTGAGAGGAAATCCAGGCCAAACTCCAAGTCCTCCCTGACCAGGGATGCACGCAGACCTTTCTCTTCTCTACAAGGGACCCGGGAGGGAGGGATCTCTCCCTGCCACCCCCCAGAACGAGGTCGGGGCACCCAACCGCAGTGTTGGTTTGAGTGGTGCCGACGGACAGGTACACATGGGGCTTGGCGAGGCTGAAGACCGAGGACCCGGTGTTGTCAGTCCCACTCACCTGAAGTCCTCCCCGTCCTCAAGCAGGCGGCGGTAGGTGGCAATCTCTTTCTCCAGCTTGACCTTGATGTTCAGCAGCGCCTCGTACTCCTGAGCCTGGCGCTGCCCCTCTGCCCGAACCTGGGTCAGCTCTGATTCCAGATGCAGCAGGATCCCGTTCTGCTGCTCCATCTGCATGGCATAGCGGGCTTGCACTTCCCTCAGGCTGTTCTCCAGGTTTCCCTTCTGTGGAGGCATAGAGAGGCGGGTCCAGTGAGCCCAGAGGCAGATGCGGGGCTGACACGGTTATGTGAGCATCTGGATGACTCACCCCTCTCTGAGACTCCCACCAGGTGCCAAGTTAGAGGGGAAGGCGGTGGGGGGAAATGCAGGCGAGGACGTTCAGAGCAGAGGGATTTGGGTCAGCGTTTTCTTGATACTGGGGCCAGAGTGATGGGGGTGTTGGAGGAGCCTTGGGTGGGATTGGGGGATGCTCTCTGCTGGATCATTTAAAGGAAGTGGACTGGGGGAGGGGAGGAATTTTCCTCTGGAAAGGGAGCGGTAGGGTTGAACTGTTTGGGCACTCTGATTAGGATGGAAGCGTAGGATTTGGGTGGTCAGTAGGGGGCTGAGGCCCTCAGAGAGGCAGTGAGGCTCTTACCAGATTCCTCATGGAGTCAAGTTCAATCTCCAAGGACTGCAAGGTTCGCCTTAGCTCTGTGAGCCTCAAACCCACCGAGTTGAGCTCCGTGTTCTGAGTAGTGACCACGGTGGTACTTTCTTCAATCTGGAGAGGGAGTGCAGGCAGGCCTTAGGTCTCTTCTGGGACCACCTCCTGCCACGGCCTCTCCCAGGTGCTCCCAGGCACCTGTCCCTTCCCTGCAGCTACCTGCTGGGACCAGTACTTGTCCAGTTCCTCTCGGTTCTTCCGAGCCAGCTCGTCATACTGGGCCCGGATGTCCGCCATGATCTTGCCGAGGTCCTGGGATTTGGGGGTGTCCACTTCCACGGTCAGGCCAGAGTTGGCAATCTGGGCTTGGAGACCATTGACTTCCTGGTGAAAGAAGGACCGTGGTGAGAAGGGGCTCTGTCAGAATTGCAGGACGGCATGAGGGCCAGGCTGCCCCTGCGAGGGGCTGTCGGGGCCTGGAGACTGGAGGTGGGAGAGACGAGTTCTGTGCCACCCTCACTGCCCGGACCTGTCCCACGGAGGGATCCTTGCTTTGCCCATCCTTCTTACTGCCACTGGGGAGCTCCTTTTCCAGGCAGCCCCACTCACTGTGCCTGCTCTCACATGTCTGTCCCTGTCCATTCATCATGATCATGTGTCTCTCCTTATCCCCTCTCAGCCTGGTGCCACTACGGCACTGGAGCTCAGGAGACACCCCCCCCCCCCCCCAGCAGCTGGTTCTACAGTGCCCTTTGAGGCTTCTGGTGGGCTGTCCTCTCTGTCTCTACCCGCATGGGCCCTGGCACTCTGTTCCCCAGCACCCCGCTTACCTCCTCGTGGTTCTTCTTCATGAAGAGCAGCTCCTCCTTGAGCGCCTCAATCTCCGTCTCCAGCTGCAGCCGGGTGACGTTGGTGTCGTCGATGACCTTGCGAAGCCCGTGGATGTCACTCTCCACAGACTGGCGCATGGCCAGCTCCGTCTCGTACCTGTGCAGAGGAGAGGATGGGAGGGGTCCTGTCTCGGCTCCAGTGCCTTCTCCACCACAGAGCACCCCCGAAGGGCAGCTCCAGCCTGGGGCCAGCCAGCACTGCAGCCAGGACTCAGATGGCAGCCCCCTAGCTCTCGGCATTTGGGGGAGACAGCCTTCTGTTTTGAGGGTCCACACCTGGCAATGCTCAGGGCTTACTCCTGGCTCTGCACTCAGGGATCACTCCTGGTGGGGTTCGGGAAACCATGGGGGGTGCTGGGGACGGAACCAGCAGCGAGGCAAGTGCCCTCCCCGCTGTGCTGCCTCTCTGACCAGGGGGCAGCTCTATTCAAGTGGGGTGCATGAGCTCCTGGGTGGCACAAAAGTCATCCACTCAGCTCCACTCCCAGGTGGGTTGATGAGGCCCCAGTGGAAGGCCCGGAGCGTGACAACCCCTGGAACAAACGCATCGTTCCTTTCCCTGCCCCTGGCTTCCTCCCCTGGAGCCTCACTTGACTCTGAAGTCATCGGCGGCGAGACGGGCATTGTCAATCTGCAGGACGATTCGGGCATTGTCCACGGAATTTGAGAAGATCTAAGGGGATTGGAGAGAAAAGGTGGGTGGATTCTTGTGTGGGCGGTTACTGTGAGGAAGGCTGAGTGCCCGAGTGACTGTGTGTGTGTCCGGGGTGGGGGGCGGCGTCCTAAGTCTCTGAGGCATCTCCGCGTCCCTTGAAGTCTCTCCTTGAGTGCCTGCTCCCGTCCACCCACGCTGCTCACACTGTTCCTTCTCCTGGAGTCCCAGATCCAGAGTTCCACAACTGTCCTTCTGTCCTCCTTTAGGCCGCCACTGGCGGGCCTGCAGGCAGTGAGCAACAACTCCCAAGTCCTCTCCTGGCATTTTTCTCCCCAGTGCACCTGCTCCCCTGGGTCCCTCCACCCCCTGGGCTGGCTCCTCCCACCCGCCGGCCTTCTGTTTGCTCCTGGATGACTCAGCCTTAGCCGCATCCGCTTAACCCTCCACCTGTCCCCTCAGCTGGAGGCCCAGAGTATCTGGATCCTTCTTCTGGGCCTTGTCCAGGTCCCCCGAGGCTGCCCACCTTCTGGGCAAGGACCCCACCCCCCTTTCCCACCGTCACTGCAGAAAGGGCGCTCCTGCCCGAGGTCACCCCCTCCACGGGGTGGACAGCCCCCTCTCGGGGGGTGTGGGCACAGGGGGCAGGCGGAGGTCGGGAGAGGGAAGCCTTGACCGCCCCCTTGATCTGAAGATCCCCACCCCTGGAAATAGGAATTCCAAGAGGCGGTGGCAAGCGCCAACGGAATGCTCTCCAGGGCTGGGAGTCGGGGCGCGCGGGCTTACCTGAGCTCTCAGCTCCTCGATGGTCTTGAAGTAGTGGCTCCAGTCTCGGACCTGGGGCCCCTTCTTCTCCAGGTGCTCGCGGATTTTGCTCTCCAGCCTCCGGTTCTCAAGCTCCAGGCTCCTCACCCTCTCCAGGTAGGAGGCCAGGCGGTCGTTGAGCTCTTGCATGGTCTCCTTCTCGCCCTGGATGCTCCCCATGACCATCAGGTTCCCGGAGGCCAGGCCCGCGGAGGCCAGGCCCGCGGAGCCCAGGCTGCCCCGGTGGTAGCTGGAGACGCGGGACACGGACCAGCCCCCCGAGCCCCCCGCGTACACGCTGGCCGCGCTGCTGATGGGCCGCGCGCGGTGGCTGGGCGAGCGCAGGGAGCCCAGGGAGCGGTAGTTGCTGGAGAAGGTCGAGTGGGTGGTGAAGCTCATGATGCCGCGGCAGAGGGGCCGAGTCCTGCACTCAGGTGAGCGGGAAGCCGAGAGCCGAGAGTGGCCAGGCCCGGTCAGCGCGAGTTTTATCGCGGAGCCGGGGGAGGGGCCGGTGCGCCCCGCCCCGTCCCGGTGGCGCCGGTGGCCACAGGTGCGCGCGCGCGCGCGGCGGCGGCGTCTGATCCCGGGGCCGCGCCACTCCCGGGACCTGCAGGGGGGCTGACTTGAATCAGGGGAGCCCAAGGGCGCCCGGCGGTGCGGGGACACGTGGCTGCGGCTTCGGGGCAGGAAGTGACGCGGGGTGCTCCGCTCCCCCAGGTAGAGGAAGTGCTCGCAGGTTGAGCGGGTGGGGGTCTCCTGAGCTGTCCTCAGCATGCAGCTTCTGCGGAGGGGGGTTTGGAGGGGATCCGGTCCTGGGGGAGAAAAGTTGGGGGCTGCAGCTCCCCAAATGGTCTACCCCCACAGCCCACCACACTCGGTGTCCAGCCTTCCCCTGCTCTGGCCAGGTGCTCACTGCCACACCCCCGTGGGGGGGGGGGCAGGGGGCCGTGTGTTCCAAGGACCCCCACGTTCTTTTTTAATTTTCTTTTGCTTTTTGGGTCAGACCTGGCGTTGCACAGGGGTTACTTCTGGCTCATGCACTCAGGAATTACTCCTGGCGGTGCTCGGGGGACCATATGGGATGTTGGGAATCGAACCCGGGTGGGCCGCGTGCAAGGCAAACGCCCTACCCACTGTGCTATGGCTCCAGCCTCAGAACCCCCACATTCTTTTCATGTGAGATCAGACTCTTGAAAACAAGAGTGTCTGGGTGCAGACAGGTCCCAGGGCAGTGCTCTGGGACCCCCTGGGGGGGCCGTCCTCACTTCTGCCTGGGTGTCTGCCAGCCTCTCCTACGCACATGGGGAAGGACCATCTTCCAGAGAATTTGCAGTCCATTTCTGGCTGGGCACCAACCATGGGTCAGCTCTGTTCTAGCTGCTGGGCAAACAGTGGTGACGAGAGAGGGCAAGCCCGTTCTGGAGAAGGCCCAGTGTCCCTGGGCTCTGAGGCCTAAGAGGGCAGGGAGTGACTGAGCTGGCCAGCCCTTCTGGCAGTCTGTCCGCACCCTCCCACCATCCAGAGGCCCCCTTCTCCAGGGTATTGGAGAGAAACGGGGGTGTTCCCGTCCTTCCCCGAGCCCCTACAGGGTGTCTGCCCTCCACTGAAAGAACCAGGGAACCCCGAGCACTGGGTCTCCCAGGCTGCCCCAGCCACAGCTCCACGTCCGGTGCTCCTGGCAGACACACTGGCATGTGCTCTTTGCTCCAACTGGCCCTATTGATCCTTTATCCAACTGCCCGCTGAACTGGGCCAGACCAGAGAGCAAGCCCTGGGTGGGGGGCCCTGAGGGCCTAATTTGAGGTGCTACTCAAATGTCCCTTTGGGTCTTGAATTGTGAGGTCTGCTGCCTTTAGGGCTGTGGGGCCCCCTGTTCTCCATGGGAGTGGTCAGAAGCAGGCCAGGGCCTCCTGAAGGTCAGAAGGCAAATGGGATGCAAAAAGGCAGGCAAATCAGTGACCGCTCCTTCTGCATGGAAAGTTCTGGGGAGACTAAGTGCCAGTCAGAGGGGCTTTTCCTTCTTTCACCTGTATGTTCTCCTGCTGGACCCCACTGGACTCCGCGGTCATCACGGGGTCCAGACGTGCACGGGAAGGTGGTTGGTGAATCTACCAGGGCCTGTGCTGCTCTTCGTGGAGTGCCGGGAGCTGTGGCTGGCGGCCCCTCACTCACTGACTGTAGCGCCCGGAATAACCCCAGAGAAGTCTCTAATATCCCCAGGGCAGAGATTGTGTGTGTGTGTGTGTGTGTGTGTGTGTGTGTGTGTGTGTGTGTGTGGAGGGGGTGGTCAGGGGCTGGATCACAGGTATGCATCTTCCTCTCCTATTCATTTCAGACCCGTGGGGCGCTTTGAATTCCAGTGATCAGGCCTAGGAGACGGGATTCTTTTAGTTTGGAATGAAGCTAAGTCGTTTTCTTTTTTCTTTTTTGTCTTTTTTTGGGTCACACCCGGCGATGCGCAGAGGTTACTCCTGGCTCTGCACTCAGGAATCACCCCTGGCGGTGCTCAGGGGACCATATGGGATGCTGGGAATTGAACCTGGGTTGACCACGTGCAAGGCAAACGCCCTACCCGCTGTGCTGTTGCTTCAGCCCCCGAAGCTAGGTTGTTTTATATTGAAACGTACTTAGAAAGATGTGGGGGAGAGGTGAGGAGGAGGGTGTATTCAAGAGAGAACACAGGCTTCTCTGGAGTGGAAGTGAGTAAGCAAAGAGACAGAGAGTCAAGCGACACTCGCGGTCAAGGGAGAACACGGGCTTGAAGAACAAGCCGGAGACCGGATTCTGGTACGGCTCCTTTCCAGATTCTTCTCTGAGTCTGCTCCGCCCGCACTGCTCGGCCAGCAGGGGCCCGGGAGGCTCGGTCTGGGGGGCAGGAGGAGGAGCAGCCGTGCTGGCCAGGCAGGCCTTATCTGGTCCCGGCCACATTCCTGACCTCTTGCAGCATCGGGACCCAGGCCGACCTCGCTCCCAGCCCCGCCTGCCTGCGGTGCCCGTCACTTCCCTGCATTGGGCGCTTTCCCTTCTGTCCAAGTCTCCGTGCCAGCCGGGCACGGGGCTTGAGGGAAGAGTTTGGGCCGTCAGATTCCCAGGGAGTCTTGGCACCCCAGTTCCTAGCACTGGGGTTCTGAGTGTCGGTGTTGCCTGGGTGGCTGTGGGCGTGTCTAAGGAGAAGGTGAGCTGGAAGGCCCCCCTCAGCAGTTGGGGATGTCCCCTCCTCCCCCGGTCCTGCATTCCAGCGTCCAGCAGAGGGGTGTGGGGAACCTGAGTGGCGAGTTTAACTCCTGAGTCAATGTGGAGATGACCCTGATAGAGGAGGGTCAGCCCTTTCCTCCCGCTGCCCCCTTCTCGGGCAGAGGGCCAGGTTGGAGGGTGCAAGGGTGAGCTGTGAGGAAAAGCTATGGGGCTGATTAGGGGGATTATAAGGATTACGGGGCCTGGAATCCTCCAGGCTTTGCTGCATTGTTCAAGCTGGATGTTTCTGGCTCTACCCAGAGGAGGCCTTTGGGAAAGCACCAGAGGTGTGAGGTTGCGGTTTATGGCCCAGAGGGGGGCTGATTCCCATCTCTCTCTCCCTCTGGGGAGTCTGGGCCACACCAGGCCATTCTCAGGGGGGGCTATTCCCCCGAGGTGCTCTGCAGACAACATGGAATGCCAGGCATTGAACTAGGGGTGGCCCTGTGCAAGGCCACATGTACTATCTTGCTGGACCCCCATCTTCTTCTTGCTAGTGTTCCCAGAACGGTCCTCATGACATGAGTGGGTGCTGCTGTGGCAGTCCCTGTCTGAGGCCCTTTGTGTCAGTGACACATACACACACACCTGTCCTCCCAGGCGGCCCGCAGCCCTGGGCCTGTCTCCCCTGGCATCCAGCGGGAATGTGGTGTCACAGGACACTGTCCAGGCCTGACTTCTGGATCCGGGGATGCCCAGAAGCCAGACAGGCACTATGTGAATGGCATCCCCAAGAGTCCCAGCAGCCGGAGAGAGCTGCCAGTGGATTCAAAGTAAAGAAATACAGCAGGAACCACACCCAGTCCAAGAGATTGATGAACTGAGGAAGACGATATGTGGTTTTCTTTACTGTGGGGTCTCACTGCATTCTTTCTTTCTTTCTTTTTTATGTTTTTCAATTTTCTATAATTACCTATCTCAAGGATATCTTTTTTTTTTTGCTTTTTTTTGGGGTCACACCCAGCGATGCTCAGGGGTTACTCCTGGCTCATGAACTCAGGATTTGCTCCTGGCGGTGCTTGGGGGACCATATGGGATGCTGGGAATCGAACCTGTGTCGGCCATGTTGGCTACGTGCAAGGCAAACGCCCTACCTACTGTGCTATCGCTCTAGCCCCTCACTGCATTCTTTAAAAGTGAGGGACTCCTGTGCTTGGATTCTAGTCATCCAATACATTTCCATCGGATCCAACAGATTGACTTCAACAAATGAGGTATTCAGCCAAAGATGCCCCCATTATGGATGCTGGGTCCAGAAGACAGGTCAGTGGTCTACTTGGGAAGACCCTCCTGGGTCCGACATCAGGACTCGGGTCCTATTCATTCCTTTTGCGTCAGCTACTTTTGGCAGTGCTCAGGAGCTGCTCCTGGCTCTGTGTTTGGAGGTTGCTCGTGTCTGTGTCCTGGGGGGGCGGTATTCGCTGCTGGGGAGAGAGCGGGGCCCCCTGTGGGCAGAGTCTCTCCCCCAGCTCAATAGGCTGCCACCACCCGGCTCCTCCCTTATGACAGAGTCTCCAGTTCACAAAGTAATGAGTTACGTACAGAGACGCCAAAGACTTGGATGGAAAGGATGATTCTATATTTGTATTAGAAGTGGCAATTATATACGTTAGCACTAAAGTCACCATGATTATTTAAATACTGAAAATGACACTATACCTGACATTTAATAGTAAGCCAATTCTACATTTAAGTTTTTTTTTTTTTTAACCTGGCTGTGCTTTGGGGACTTGGAGTCTGCTCTCAGCAGTACCTGATGTAGGAGTTGAGGGGGTGGGCTGGAGTGGGATGTGGTCGCCACCCTTATGCTATTTCCTAGGCCCTAATCCTGCATTTTAAGAAAAGAGCCCATAAATCCTTCTGACTCAGGGGTTCCACTGTGTGTGTGTGTGTGTGTGTGTGTGTCTGAGGGTTGAACACAGGGCATCACGCATGCAAGGCATGTGCACTGCTGACTCTCTCCATGGCTTGACTCAGGTTCTTCACCAGATCCATGGATGACTTGAGGTCAGTAGATAGAAATGAGGGAGCCGGGAACTTTGGAAAATTGCTCCGAATGGAAACCCACCATTTCCTTGAGCTGAAAGGGGAGCTAGCTGCCGGCCCTGGAAAGATGGTCGGAGCCTGTGGGTGCTGCTGGGAGCAATCCCAGTGTCAGCCTAGTGCCTCCCATTGTTCAGCATCTTCAAACAGTCTTACATCCAGCACCGCTTTAAAGTCATGATGAGGGCCTGGA